ATGGGAAGGCTGTAAATAAGTCGAGTCGACTTTTCAAGTTGGATCCCGTCATGAGAGACGGCACACTGCGCCTAAATGGAAGGATACGCGCGGCAAAGGTGTCCGCCGAAACGAAGGAACCCGCTATATTAGACGGCCGACACCCATTTACCCGCCTATTAATCATGAAGAAACATAGGATGGCGAATCACGGGGGGAGGGAACAAGTTGTCAATGACCTCCGCCAACAATACTGGATATTACACCTCCGGTCATCGGTACGGAAGGTGGCACGTGACTGCGCAACGTGTCAAATAAGGAAAACTCGACCGAGGACGCCGGTGTTCGGTGACTTGCCCGCTGCGCGAGTCGATCCATATCACCGGCCTTTCACCTACTGCGGAGTCGACTACTTCGGGCCGATGCTCGTGAAGATTGGACGACGTCGTGAGAAGAGATGGGGCGCGCTATTCACGTGCCTCACTACCCGCGCCGTACACCTGGAGCTCGTGGGGTCATTGTCAACCGACTCAGCGCTGCTGGCGTTGCGACGCATGGCTGCGCGACGAGGTTGGCCGAAGGAGATGGTCAGCGACAACGGCACCAACTTTCGCGGCGCCGATACCGAGCTACGCACCGCCTATGAAGAATGGAAGCCCGCGCTGGAAGACCTGGGGCTGCAGCGCCGCATGACATGGCGCTTCATACCACCCGGCGCGCCGAACATGGGAGGCGCATGGGAGCGGCTAGTGAGGTCGATCAAAACTGCCCTCACGGCCGTCCTGCACGAGAAGGCACCTGCCGAAGAGCTACTGCAAACCCTACTGATCGAGGCCGAGCACAGCGTGAACAGCCGGCCACTCACACATGTCTCCGTCGATCCGAGGGATCCGGAGGCCATCACCCCCAACCACTTCCTGTTGGGATCGTCGACGGGTCTGCCACACACCGGGCCCTGCGAGCCAGCCGACCGACGGACCTGGCGAGCCAGCCAGGGCCTCGCCGACGAATTTTGGAGAAGATGGGTGCGAGAATATCTGCCTACACTCGTACCACGCCAAGCCACAGCCGCACCAGGGGAACCGCAGCCGCAGCCGGGAGATCTAGTCATCGTCGTCGACTCAACACTGCCGCGTAACACATGGCCACGCGGTATCATCGTGGCAACCTACCCGGGACCCGACGGCCACACACGGAGCGCCGACGTCCGCACGAAGGGAGGAGTGTTTCGACGCCCTACAAGAAAACTCGTTGTCCTTCCGAGAAGCGAGGGCTGCGCCGAGGCTACGCCGGGGGGAGAGCTGTAAAGGACATCGAGCCGCGTTTCAACAGCAGCGCCACCAGCGGGACCACAGCGAAACCTTCCCCTCCCCGCGCGGTGCGGGGTAGCATACCCCCACTCTGCAAAATCTTATAAGATAACTGACTAATATATGAGCTAAGTGCGAGCAAACAAAATGTACTTAAGTGATCGGGTTTTTGCAATAAAGCATGTTCTGCCACTGAATGTTCTCCGTGTTTTCTCCGAACCAAGCGTTTTATTTGCGACCTCTGCTACCTACCTGTTGATAATCCAGCCTACAGTCCATCTGCTAACCAAGGAACTTTGTCGATTTCACCAACTCAACTTTTTCACTATTTACATTTATAAGTGTATTAATATGCCTCACATTAGGTAATGCAAACTTTATGTATTTCATTTAATTTGAATTAAGCTTTAAATAATTACTATCAAACCACTGTAGAACATTGTCGAACTGAATTACATTTTACTGTTTCATAACAAAATTTAAACCTCTTATTTCATCAACTACTATTATGTCACATCACTAATATGCACAATCGGAATGATACCGGTAAGAAAAAATTACAAATTAGGCTTAATGTAATAAATACAAAATTCTGTTGGTTTCTTAATTTTTGTTTTTTTTTTTACACTTTCCCTCGCTTAATTATATTACTCCACAGACATATGATGAAGTTTATCATTAAGTTTTCTTAGTTTTTGTACTGCGTTTTTTAAAAGAAGTTATATAGGGAAAAGCGTTATTTTTTAATATTCACTTGGTTACAGCAAAATCTAATCTTAATAGTTCGCACATAAAATGATGTCCCCAAATTTTTTAAAATGTGCATAATCTTAAAATATCTTTTCCCTTCTGGTATCCCCGTATACAGCCACGTGACAGTTCAACATTCATGTTAAAGTAAATTATTTATTATCACGTTGAATTAGAGTTTGTTTTTAATCGTGTGATTTCTTAGCTTACGAACGAATCGCGTGGCAGTTTTTCATGTAGTGAACAAAATGATCATTTCATCTAATCTGTATTTGTGTGCGGAGAGGCGACACTCGGTTCCCATACTAAATCAATATCATTATACTTCTATTCTCTCTCTATATTTCTCTATTTGATTCCATCCTTAAGGAAGGCCTGTACCCCAGCATGGCTGATGATGATGAAAACTGAAACGAGACGTAAAGTTTCATATTTGTATCGATGAACGGGTAATATAAGAGCTTTATGGCTGGTTTACACGTAAGTAATTAAGTAGATTCTTCAATCAATAATACAACATTATTGCTCATAATTTAACCAACATTTTTACTCAGCACATATTACTTATTTGTGTTTACACGTAATTAATCACTTAGAAAATTAAGTAAAAAATCTACTTATTACGTATAAATAAGATATTAAATTCATAATAAAAACACATTTATCATAGAATATTTAACCCTTCAACCATTTATTTTTAAATTCCATTAGGTACAATTACATTTATCTCGGCAAGATACAATCTATTGCTTATAATATATTGACGTATACACCTTACAACATTATACATTAATGTAGGTACTCTGTGTAAGTAACCTATTGGGTAACTTATCAAAACTGATAAGGTGAATCAGACTGAATGGAATCTTCTCGTAGGCAACATATAATTTAATCACACATTCATTTCATATTCTTACGTACTATTAGGCATATCGTAATAAGTCATAATTCTAACTATTAAGTATTATTAAAATACTATCTATTGTGTAATATCACAATTGTTAAGTATTATGATTTAATACTTACATTAAATTTTATTATGGTTTAATACTTATCACAGTACGAAAAAAACTGCGTCATTTAAATTAACAGTATACCTATTTCACAAAATTAGCATCATGAAACCATCAATCCATTTTAATATTAATACTTAGTTTTGATTTATTAACCCTGCTAATCGGGTAATAGAAAAGGTTATTACAACACTAATTAACAAGGTAGGTAACGTTTAAGACAATCTAATTCATTTCTAATGGATCCATCTATGCGGTTGAGTCAACATGGTACACTCAACCGCGCATCAGGTTAAATAAAAGTCAAATATCCTCACTCGATTTTTAAACCTTAACACATTAACAGTAGATGCTAATATCATTTGCTGAGATTTGACATAATATGGTAACCTGACCTGTAGCCGTAACAATTTTAAACCTATTTTAATCACAAACTTATGGTATTACAAATAAAATTAACCCAATTTCAAGAGAAATTACCAATAGCATCGTTACGTTATACTTATAATGTACCCTTTCTAATGGGTTTCTATAAATGTTTAAATTCATAAGTGATTATAAATAAAGCCAAATCCACACAGGAACTGCCACAAACTTTCACTCCATTTTGCCACCCGCACTGTCTTCGACTTATAGTGTATTTTGCTGCCGGTTTGTCGCAATTTCCATGTTATCGACTTCGTTGAAGTAGTGGTGTGTGTAGGATTGGAATATTGACTGCTAATTTGTGAATATACACATGTGAGTTCTAAAAAGTCACAGCAACTATAAACTATAAAACTTATGTTTACTCAGTCGAAAGTAAACTCTCCTTCGCAAAGTCATTCGGGCGTCGACGTTTTCTAAATGTTACCATCTTTGGGGGTTCCATTCCCGGCCGGATCAATGTAGAAAATGAATCTTCTTCACATTCAGATGTGCGATCGCCTAACTCTAGCCATAGGATACAACATCTTTGCGATGTACTTTTATTTTATTACTTTGACACTTTGTCTATTGATAATTAAAATTGGTGAATTATTATTACTCCCAAAGCCGTTAAAGTCTTAATAACTTATCTGTATAGTAGCAGTAAGATTTGAGAATAAGTTTGTATCTAGGAGTTGCTAAAATAATGATATGTTATTAGACAATAAGTATATTTAATAAACTGATATAAGTCGGTCTCAGAAGTTACATTTTCCTGAAATAGTGGTGGAGTAGTAATGTAGCGTAATTGTCTGTCTGTATATTATACTGCGAGTACAATGAAATTATACAATCTATAACATTGGGGATGTTACAAACTTTTTTGTCTGTTCGTCAGGTAAAATAACGAAGAATATTAAACTCGAATTTTTTGCGTAATCTATAAATTAGGGCTTTAAATTGAGTTGAAATATTGCATGACGTCATAGCTTTGTACATTTTCTACATAGTTGTGACGTAACGAAACCCCATTCCTCAACTTAAATGCCTTTTATATAAGCCTATTTAAATTGATGCAAAACAAACATATGTTTTTCTATTATCTGACTGACGGACTAAGCAGAATTTCTTTGTTGTGTGTATGACCAGGATAGCCTCTACACAAACAGAATTAATTAATTAGCTGTCATTGTGACTTTGACATTGACATAAGAGGAGAATTGCACCAATATACCGCTCGGGTGAATTATGGTGAGTGTTGGATTGGAAGCATCTTCGATTATAAAACAAACCTATTAAGCCAGATAAAATTGTGTTTTTAATAGTAATACTTAATCATTATTTTGCAAAAGAAAGAGATGGTGCTAATGATATAAAATAGATAATATCTATTTTCAATCCACTGACAGTTAAAATAGGTAGCTATTTATTTTATAAAATGATATTTCATATTCCCTTGTTTTCTTTGAGCTTATTAATTTCTAGTAGGTAATAAATATTACATAAAATAGAAAGGCACTATTAAATATATCTAGATGAATCATCTATGCTTTAAGAACTTGCTCACATACGTCATAAATTTGTTAGAAAATTCATTAGTTAGCCGATATCGTAACGCAAAATACGCTACCAATCTATGAATGAAAGTGAATATGAGTAGCCCCACCACTTGAATGATGTAACTATCATTGGTCATTCCTACATCTCGCAATATGAGCTTCGGGTTGGAGTATAAACAAAACTCGGCTTTACATTCCATGTTGGCACGATTTTCGTACAGTGCCAGAGAGAATCCAGAGAGGCCGTATCGTAAATATGATGCAGACATTAAGAACTTCATGCTGGTCTCTATGTATGGTCCGAAGCCCATACCGTAGCAACACAGTGCAAGAAGAGGCGCGGCGATAGCAGGGCCGATGATTGAGCCGTTCTGGAAAAATAAAACGCTTTTTATAAAAATCCTCAAAAGTCAAAATTTTGTTTTTAACAAAGTTTACAAAGAGCGCCTATAGTAATAAATTGACTGTAAACAAAACATTAACCGTATTACGGTCGTTAGGTAGGGATCATATTTCTTGAGCAAGTGTGTTTGGAGGCCCCGCGCAATTGGGAGCCTCGCTATGGTTCAGAGTCAATTAATTAATTTTACAAGTCAGCGTTAAATAATGCAAGAAATAAAATAAGCCTCGCTCCTGACTTGTCATATTTTTAAGTATGAACATAAACTGACAAATCAAACTCAGGGCACAGATTAGTTGTTGTGTTATTCGGAAAGCAAAGGATGACTTTTTTGTTCCGAAAGAGGGGGGCATGCTACGGGACCCGAGTGGTAAGTGTAAGTTTTACGCTAACGCATTCACTAGTGAGCGCGTTATGAATTTGTATGGAGATTTGTAGTTCTTGGTAGTTACCGCTAGAGGCGCTGTACCGGATTCCATACTAAAATCTTAACGCGCTCACGATCGACAGTGAACGTAAACGTCAAAAAAACTTACACTTAGCGCTCCGCTCTTAATTCGGCGCTGCGTGAGACACTGCATAGACATAAGAGTGATTTTATCAAAACCAAATAGTAACAGTTTTCAGTAAAATTTTAAATTTGCCTTTGTATATACCTACACTTTGTTAAGCGAAATTTTGAAGCTGATATTTGGATCAATTTGTATTGCGCTGTTTTTTTTATTGGACACATTAAACTATAAAATAGGTGTCAACAATTGTCAATTCAAGTAAAACCTACACTACTTCCATAGGTAAATATATTTTATGGAGAATGTTATAATTGATATAATGAATAAATAATGTCGGGTTATAATTTTAAGTTAAAATACAAGAGTCATTTATTGGTTCAACAAAAGAGTATGTCTATATTCTAACCCCATGCTATATATTCGTGTGAATTTGTTATACGGAAATGTTATTTTAATTGTAGTTTTAATTAAATAAAAATAATTTTAATGGAGTAACTAATATATTAGTATTAATGTTAACCTAAAGTCTCGGGGCATCTGCTGAAAATCAGTGCCGTAGCAAACGTTGCTTCGGCTCATACTGAGCAGAGGCTCTCAGTATAACTTATATATACTTTTTTTGATTTTTGCTATGTAATATTTTGTAACTTTATATTTTATACCAAATAAACGCTTTCTATTTCTATTTATTTCTATTTCTAAATAAATAAATAAATAAAAATAAAATTTGACCGAGTTAATTGTTTTGTAGATATAAACTTAGGTCTAATTTTTATAACTGTTTTATAAGCACTAACTGTTTTCTTCTATCATTTTGTATGCGTAAATTATAGCCTACGTCAACCCCGTATGACGTAGCTAACCGTAGGCGAAAGAATTTTTAAAATCGGTTCAGTAGTTTTGTAGCTTATTCGAATTCAATGCAAACAAAATACAAATCTTCCTCTTTATAATATTAGTATTGTAAACATATTCTGTATATCTAATAGGGTTCTAGGAAAATAGAATGTATAATATTATTATAATCTTAATTTCACGACAATGATTGACACCTTTTGGATGTTACTCTATTCTAAAAGTTGTCAACTTAGGCTGAGTGCAGATTGGAATCACAAATGTTTAAGACAAAATGAAATTTTATCTACTACAACTACAAATCTCGGAATCTCTGAAGACAAGCGCTCTTCCCTTAGTCCAACACTGTCTAAACTACCTTGCCTATGTCCAAGATAATATTTAAAGTATTTTGGAGGTTTTTTTTATATATTGTATAAAATTAAAATAAACAATTTTATTATTATTATTATTCAGTGCTCCAATATTATAATATTATCGGAATTAGATTACCCGATCGAGACTCGAGTCTGCTCTTAGCCTTAGAAGGTTATTAGCTTTCCCTATCTATTGTCACTTCAACAAGCTAAGTGCTATGTGATTACCTATTGAATTTCCTTGTCATACTATTGATGCTAAAGATACCTAAATCTTAAGAGGGCAAGTAAAACTAAAATACTATCGGTGTCCATATCATTGCGCTTGGAAATGAAAAACAGTTCTATCTTACGATTATTCTAAAAGTGCTACATCATTCCCTTTGCTACTAAGCGAAAAATAGGTTTGATTTCAATAAGAAATCGGATAAATGGGGTATTTTTTTTTCAAGAAAATTGATTAAATTTATGTATTGCCTGTGACAGAACCTTTTGAAATATTTTGTAAATTTCTCATTTTTAATTACATCTTACTAAGACGTTATTCTTTTGTACAAAATCAGTTGAAAGTTAGTGATTTTGGGTGCACGCGTCCTCTTAACACACGCTTTGTTGCCAGAGCAACATTTATCTTAAGAATTAGTCTCATTGGGACATTCACGTTTCATGTCTTTGTCTAGAAAACACAATTACCTACACTAAGAAATAAAATACTATATTGTATTAAGTATATTTAAATCTGTTTGTCTTGTTACGTATTGAGAGTTAAGGCGACTGGGTTAAATGGCGAAAAGATTGATATTCGATGGAAGTCCAAGCATAGTAATAATAGGCTAAGGATTCACCGTCAGTGTACAATGAGCATGCCCACAACCCTTGATAAATGCAATATATATTTTTATAAACATCTTCTTTGCAGGAGTTCGTACTAAGTAAAAACGTTTTTGTTTTTTTTTGTTTAAAAAGTAACAGTTAGATACAATAGCGCTACCCTAACGGACAGACGAAAGTGTCCAAATCTGCATTCATTGAAATACATATACTACAGCTCTGACCGCAGAAATGAATCAAAATAAGTAAATTAATATCTGTGGCTCTGACGATGTATACCGTTTGAAACAACATTAGATTAGATTTTTATAATAGATTGCAAAAAAAAAAAACGTGTTAAATTAATTAACTGTAATTTTTTTGGTATTCTACTAATATTATAAATTCGATAGTTTGTGAGGATGGATGTACGAGTATGTAGCTCTTATGAAATATAACAAAATGCATATAGAGTACACAGACGGACACAGTGTAGAAGGGTCGAAATTTTCCGTTTACCTAACCTACGTCGCTTACAGCTAACCTATTTATTTATTATAAATTGGCCATGTTATGACATGTATGTCATATTTGGCATGTCAGAATTTTACAATACTATCAATTGTTACAGCTTACATAATATAACCTAACCCACTCGCTCTTACTCTAGCCATAGTTATAAAACGTTTTATTAATTTTATAAACGAAAAGGTTTATAAATCTTTATAACACTATGTTCATTATTATTTATTTAGATAATTAATTAAACATTTTAGTTTATAATTTTTTTTGGAATATTCCTTTGTCTAAATTATACTTTACTAGCTGACCCGGCGAACGACGTACCGCCTTATACCCGTTTTAAAAAAATCTTATATACAAACCATGTCATGAATCGTGAAACACATAAAAAATAGAATCATCTAATGTGGTGCAGTCGGAACTAGAATTCGGAAGTTATGCGCGTACATACTTTTCGGCGATTAATTTTTATTCACCGATATTTAATATCTCGCCCGGAAATATTTTTAATTTTCGATAACTCATTAATTATTTAATATAGTGTAAAAGGCAATTTTGATCTACATTACATGCATAACATATCTAACTTATTTATTTGAATAAGTCATCATTTTACGTATACCGTAAAAAATGGTTATTGTGAGTTATCCTTGGAATATAGAGACCACCGAGGACTTTTTGGTAGATCTATTAAAGAGGTACAATTCCTCCATACAATGTTTTGTTATAACTCATAAGTTTTTGGCAGCATTTTCGAGGAAAGCTTCCGATCGGCTTTATTTTTTCCGACATATTGAACTAATATCGTTGTAATATCGTCAGTTTGTACAAAACCTAAACTTACTATACACTAAAACCTTCCTCAAAAATTGCTCTATCTATTGTTAGAAATCGCATGAAAATCCGTCCAGTACTTTTCGAGTTTATCGCGAAGAGACTGTTAGACAGAAGCGAGGGCCTTTGTTTTATTTATAATATGTAGTGATTAACTTAGATTCGGATTGAAAGAAGTCAATAAATATGCTTATAAAAACAGTACTTATATTGTCATATTGAATCGAAATTGTAGCCTAAGATTGTATTAATATAAAAAGTATAGTTATAGCGTAATTTATCTGAGCATAAGCTAGTCTCATAGTATATGGAGTGAAACTTACGGTAACGCTAAATGCAGAGCCGACAGCAAGACCTAGACCTTCAGAACAGACCGCAGTAAGTATGCCGCTGATGCTAAATAGTACAAATCGATTCCACTCCAGCAGCTGCCCGGACATCAGGTAGGAAATCAGCAGGAACACCACCCCCAGGATTAGCTAAAAATCAAAGTAGGAAGATTATGATAAGTAAATAAAATAAATAAATATTAGACAACATCACGTGTATTGCTCAGATTCCAAGATGAGTAGCTAAAGCCTCCGTATTATCTGAGACAACGAAGGTACCACAACTCCCAGATACGAGACAATATAGAGAAGTCCATTTTCCATACTGGCCCGACCGGGAATCGAACCCGAGACCTCATTGATGACGACGTCTTGAAACCGGCGTGCGAACCACTCGGCTAAGGTCTTCGTCATACATTATTTTATATATCATCATCAGTCCTCTTACGTCTCCACTGCAGGGCTTAAGCCTTCCTTATGGATGGTTAAGGAGGGTGGACCATCACCCTCCACGCATTGGAGGGTATTAAGGATACAGCCGGAACCAACAGCTTCAATTGTCTTCCGAAGAACGAAGTAGCTCGAGATAATAATTTTTGGCCACCCAGCCCGTGACCGACACTTGTGAAAGTTGCTCAAAAACAATAATCGCGTGCTTTGGCGTTTAGCCACTACGCAACCGAATTACTCGTCATCAGTCTATTAAGGGACACAGGCTTCAGGCCTTCGATATTGATGTAATCGAAGAGGGAGAATGGACCATGTCCCAGTGTTGTATGGTAGATGTTAAAGATTGCAGATGCCGCTGGGTACATAGGCTTAAAGTGCCTTTTGAAGCACGAAGGAACTCAAGATTATGATCCATTTTCAGTCACTAATTTTTTATCTCATTAATAGTCTGGAGATGATCATGATGACGACATATTAGATGGACCTGCCCCCTTATTCTCGAACGCGATCACGACCGATCGAAATTGTAATTGTGCTGTTTCGTGCGCTTGATTGGGTACACTAGCGCCAGAGTAAGCTAGTAAACAAATCAAGAGTGCGAAGCGGCACGATTTCATTGTCGATAAGTCGCGATTGCGTTCGAGAGTAAGGGGGCAGATATATTTATGTTCACTAGACTAAGATATTGGTTATCTTTATCGTAATTTTTTATAGCAGCGGTTTATTCTACAGTATTTGTTTTACGTTGATAACGTTTTAAGTATGTACATAAAACGGCCTCGTAAATAGGCCATTTCCATGATAGCATTTATTAATCAGGGTAATTTTTTTCATAATTTCTCATTTATATATAATTTAAATAAGCAAATGCCTAACAGAAGAAGAAGAAACCGGACGCGAAATAAAAGCCAGACATGTCCGGGTAAAGTCGTACGGATGGCAACCCTAATCATAGCGTAAAGTAATATTCACTATAGGCGAACGCGTAAAAATATTCCATTAATATTCGAACTATTTACTAGCAACATCTTATCAAAACGGTAACAGATTAGATTTTAATGGTGATTGTAAATATCACATGGGTACAAAACAATGCCGCCATATCTTGACGATAGTAACGTAAGTACATAATGGAGGTTGTCAGCGCGAAAGTGGCCTAACCAAATGTTAATTTATTTAAAACTTAATAAACGGTATAGTATGAGTATCCTCGGTATCGGATGAGTAGCTTGGTGGCGTAGTGGATAAGCGCCGCGGCGCACGATCGTTGTTGTTAAGCAACTATCGCAAGGGTCGGTCAAGGGATGGGTGACAAAGAAATTATCATCTCGAGCTACTACGTGTTTCGAAAGGCACGTTGAGCCGTTGGTCCATACTGCAAGTCGTAAATACCTTCCAATCTGCACTGGAGGATGGGCCATAACCCTCCATTATGGCCCATCCTCCTTAACCATCCATAAGGAAGGCCTGAGCGCCAGCAGTGAGGACGTAAAAGCGCAACTGTCTCCTACTCATAATTAATATGACACCTGTAGACCTATTCCCACGAAAACGAAATTTCATCTATTTTGGAAACTAATAGGACCTGACACTGCCTCTGAAGCAGTATTTCTTATACTATTTGTCCTCGATCGAAAATTCGGGTAATTTCGACTGGATTTTATAGTTTTGTTAAAATCTTCGTGTATCAGAGGCAGAGTTAGGTCCCTCCTCCACTACATCAGAAATTATTTACAATAAGTTTCTTTGGAGTCATAATAATTAATTCAAATTTTGATTCGAAAATAGAAGAAATTTTTTTTTATCATTGGGCCGCGTTGTGGGTTATGGTTGATAGATATATTTAATTTCATTATGACTCGTTGTCCCCTATTAATATATTACCGTCGGAAAACAAACAGCTTTAACATATTTTCACATAAAGTCAACAAATGGTAGAAAAGTCGCTTTCCGCCGTAAAATACTAATACTATTATCAATTTTTAAAACGCGAGTCATATACATACATATCAATATTTTTTTTTTCTAAAATTTACGGCAAGGGACATGAAAATAAATATATAGAAGGATTATACTCGTAAATATGAATAGATTCAGGTCAATCATATATCACCTTTCATTATTTTACTACGATAAATAATGACTATATATCTATGTGCTTTCAGGAGAAGAAAGTGAAAGTATGGACTATGTTATTATATTTATTTACTGTTGAATATTGTAAAAGTCAAGTACTTTAATATCTCGATTTAATACAGTTTTTGTGTTACACAGATTGTAAGTTGATTATCTAAGGTTGATGGTAAAAAGACAGTATGGGCTAAGCACCCTTTGCCTTCCCCTCCCTTGTAGGAATGGGAAAATTGAACCCAAAAAAAGGTCGATGGTAAAATTAGAGGAGGTGCATTGTCAAAAAATAAGACACTAAAAATAAAAAAGGCCATAAAAAAAAGTAAATAAATCACAATGATCTGTTACTTATTCAACATTAATACACCTTTCAGTAATATTTTCACACACAACAAAGTGATTCAAGAGGACGTTTTAATAATACACGCCCACGCCGGCGAAGGTGCTGGCGCAAAGCTAGTAATGAAAATACAGCTTTAGCTAGTAAAACATAGTGTTTAAAATCTCTTTTTTAGCTAGTAACAAACTTACCATTACAAGGAAGTAAAATTATATTTAAATCAAACTTTCGTTCAATTAAGTACTTAGCATATATACTCGTAATAAAAGAAAAGAATCTCTTACCATTACAGGAAAACTTGAGAACGTGAGCGCCGCGTAGTAAGCCTTCAAACTATAATAACGGTTGAAGTACTCTCGACGGAGAAGTCTAACTTCTATAGGAACTGTTTAAAAAAAAAGAAATGCCATTATAAGTAAGGACTCGACAGAAAAACTGCATATGAACTTTCAATAGGTTTCTAATTCTCATTATAATATATCGTGCATTTGGTTTAAATTTTGTGGAAATAAAAAAGCTAGTCATTTGTTTTATGTAAATGAAATCGCGAGATCCAACTATTCAAAATATAAGAGGTAAAATTTCTATTTGTTTGTTTGTAGGGGAATAATCGGAAATAATACGGTTAACTACATCGTACGGGGTGCTATAGGTTATAAATTGTTAGGCGAAGTCGCGGGAAAACAACTATCATTAATAAAATAGAAATGGCCATTTTTTTCAACCAGGGATCTAATTGTCTTATTTTAAAATCTATCGGAACCCCTTTCAATTTGATCTTTGAAAGATGTTCACGAAATTACGCTACAAATATTTGACATGGAATAGCGACGTCTTTTTTGTAAGATATTTAATGAAATTGTCAAGTGTTAGACACGAATATTACTTTAAGTTTAAATTAATGTTTTTTTTAGTCTCTTGATAATTATACCCTCCAATCCGCATTGGGCCAGCGTGAAGGGTCATGGCCCATCCTCCTTAACCATCCATAAGGAAGGCCTGAGCCCCAGCAGTGGGGACGTAAAAGGGCTGATGATGATGATGATCATTCCACTATTGCGACTTCAAAAGTTATATAATTGCATAAATCACAATCACTATAGGTACCTTTGAAAAGGATTGCGTTGATTTTGAAATTAGACAATTAGTTCGCAATATAGTACAAAATTAAATGATATAAACTTACACAATAATACGGGTATCATAATATACGTGTACATGAAGAATACGAGACAGCTGAGGCAGAATTTGAAATTAACTATAGGTGCGTTTGCATCGTTGCCAACTAAGAAAAATATACTGCCTAGAAGGAATGCTGATATTACGTGATGTAGCAGTTGAATCCATAGAGATATCTGGAAGTTATTTAATAATTACATATTTCCATACATAGATTGAAATTAATAGATGTTACCTAGTTGCACAAACGCCCGTTAAAGGGACCTATAAGCACTAATGAATGTTCAAAATCCGTAAAAATTATCAGTAATCAGCACACTAAACTTATGACAATTTTATTACAAATTTAGTACATTCATTAGAGTTAAAGTTGTCATTAAACTATTAACGTTTGTATAACTAGGTGATAAGAATTCACTTATTATATAAATTACGTTACACGTTAATGTCCGAGATAACTTACGAAGTTTTATTATATCTCAAAGAAAAAGGATAAAAATAGTTTATCTCATAGTAAAGTATTTAAATATTCAATAGCCTATTGTTATCTATTTCACTACCAGCGAAAGTATCAGTCCTTGATGAATTTCATAGTCTAGCAAAGGTTTCGGGTACTTTATTTGGTTAGAGCAGTCTCTCTTACCAGTTAACCTACCCGAGGTAGGTTTCAAAAAGTTACGGTTTATAAAAAATAGCATTACGAACGCAAAATTTCTATCAAATGTAGTAATAAAATTAAGAAAAAATCGTTAGTAGAGGATGAGCGCTGTGGCCCGCGATCGTTGTTGCTAAGAAATTTTCACAAGGGTCGGTCACGGGATGGGTGACCAAAAAATTATTTTCTTGAGCTACTCCGTGCTTCGGAATGCACGTTAAACCGCTAGTCCCGGGTGCATTTGCATTCGTTAAAACCCTCTAATCCGTATAAGGCTAGGGTCATGGCTTATCCTCTTGAACCATCCTTATGGATTTTTAGCTATAAAAAGGCTGATAATGATGAGTAATAAAAATTTTTTTTTCTATCTCGAGAAACTTTTAGACACCAATTTATAGCTAATATAAAAAAAATAACTGTATGTAAGTAACATTGGTCATTGGTATCTACTATATATTTCTGTGTATATTTATGCGCTAAGAAAAACTCACCGAATTCCTACTCGTCTGCAAAAACATTCGTTTACTTAAAATAAGGAATTGGGTCAAGAAAGTGGTGGGAAACTCCATTTTTTGCATTTGCTCTTTGGCAACGTGCTCCACGAATATTCTTTGTATAGACTCGTCCGAGTGCAGTACCGGTTTTCTAAAAGAACAAAAAAGTATTTATGTTAGTAAAGATACTGTTATATGAACTGCTTTATTCATGTGCGACAAAATATGTCGTCGACTTTGTGTGGATGTGATAAAATCGGTAATTAAATATGGAACGTTGTGTTTTTATTCGTTTTGAGTGTTCATATGGTCCATAATAGTCACAATTTAACAAGACGAATTAAAAGTTGTCAGAAAAGTGAAATATAATTAATAAATTAAAAGTGTTATGAGTTTAAAACACAATGGAAATAAGAAGAAATCACTAAATGTGTTTTTCAAAGCAAAACTCAAACCTTGTTATTTTATTATCGTTATTTGTTCAAGTCCTAGCAGGTTCTTCAGTAGTGAAAATTGAAAATTAATAAAGAATAGCAAAAAAAAAACGTTTATCAAACTTCAATATCTGCTTCTATCTTAGCTTCTATCTCTATAGCTTATAATCATGGACTATATACATATCATCAATAATAAAATGACATCAATGTTTGTAAAACTTAGTCTCTTGTATAATTGATAACGTTAATGTAAGCGAAATCAATGTCTCAATGTATTGAGACATTGATTTCGCTTACATTAACGTAATTATTAACCGTGTTACAATGTTAAAATGTGTTTTAAAGGTAAATAATAAAAATACAGAATTTAATATCAGTTGAGTAACAAATTTTTATTCCAATAAATGTTATATGAAAATAAGAAAGTATAAAAAAGAAATTGTAACATATCTTGTCTGTTACGTCAAGTGAGTGAAGTAATTTATATAAGTTTACTACAGTTATAACGATTTAATACTTTAGGTGTCACATATTGCTTGTGCGTGTTGTAGCCGGTGAACTTGCAAAAATACCTTAAAACTTTACGAGCCAGAGACTTAGTTGGGATATAAAACGGAAGCTGCACTAGAAATCTAATTAAAAATTATGTTTTCTCGCTATGGTTTTCTTGCGACAATGTTCATTTATTTTTAAAGTACTTATAGCGCTGTGGCTTAGTTAGAATTGTTATAAATTATAAAGTATTTGTCTTAGTTTGTAGCGGATACTTTGTTTATATGTTTTTGGGGTTAGTGCACTAATTATACCATGCAGTTATATTAAATAAATATATTTTTTCTAGTAATAAGTTACAGAGTGGTCATTATATTACTAATAGTAGAGCATAGAAATCTGGCACTGTAGCAATGCTGTATATTTTTTACACTTCAGACATTACAAATTTGGGAATAGAAATCAGGTACAGGCTTACATACCTATTTAAATGTCGATATGTATTGAATCCGCAAAAAATGCGTAATAAATGACAATGATGCTCATATAAATATATAAAAATCATGAAAAGTTGTCCTTGTGTAATCAAATATGTAATTTTTCACAAACGATTTCCGTTACTTTCTTACCTGCCTCCTTTCGCTGTTATCCTGTCTAGTTTCCTGCACAATTTGCCGTTCTGACATAGTTCTGATAACTGCGCAGGCGCTTCAATATCGCCCAGTAGAGTTTCCAAGACGAAGTCCGCGGGGTTGTGCGTCGTTGGGCAAATGTGGCCAGCTTCAGCCAAATATGGTACCAGGAGTGGAGCTGCACCCTAAAAAAGAAATAACAAATATGTAGCAACTAGGTAATCAAAAATGTATGTAATGTGGAAGAATCGGTTTATTCCACAGGTTCATCTCTTTTTTGATAACGCAGGGGATTTCCCCATCTTAAGTCTTAAACTAGGCCTTCAAACTCCCTGTCTTGAAAAGAATAGAAGTAGCAGCGGAGTACTCTCAATCCAATCCCACATTGCAATTCAATAACCAATGTGGTAGGTAATATTGGTAATGTAAAGGAACTTTCAGATAAAAATATATAAATAATTTTTTTATAAATATCTAAAGACTTGTGATATATTGTCGAGATTTGTAAAATCAAAAGTTCAATTTTATATAAATAAAAGCTTTATATATTATAGATTAGAAGATAAAATCGATTAGCATCAACCTAACAAAAATTTCTGAATTATTCATATAATTAATTTTACTGTATTGTTGTTTTTATAGCTATTGATACTAATGAAATTGTAAGTAATCGTGGAAACATTTATTAATTAAATAATAATAATAGTTACTTTTCAAATAAACTCAGCTCATTTTTAATTTTTAGTTTCCACTTCACATCCAAAGTTATAACACCAAAGGGTTTTCCTAAGAACATTCTGCGAATTCAAATATGTATGGTACATTAATCGCACTAAAAGGATTTTCCTTAGAGCTTATTTGTTGCATTCTATTGCAAATATAATATAATAGAACGTACTCAATTTTTATAAAAGCTTCAAGAAAATCATAGAAGAGGTATTTAGTTATGAACATGATAAATGTACGGCGGTGTTGACTTTAAAGATACTTTACGAAACTTCCCAGAAACTTGTTATTATCTAGAAGAGGAACTCAATAAAAATAAGTCACGAACGGGAAAAAGTGTCCCTGAGGAAATATGAAAATTGCAAGAGTGTTTTGGATGTAGTTTGAAAGACGATCGCCGAGTTCGAGAATATTTTGCGCGGCAGATATATGAAGGAAGCACTTTTAAAAACTTAGCGCTCCTTTAAGATGACTAACACCTTTATGTTGAACAAAGTAGCCATAAAACTTATTTTTATAGCAAATATCCTATATTTAATTTAGGACGTAGGACATACTAAAAGTTTCTGCAATTGGTAGTCACCAATTGCTTAACGAAACTTTTAAAGTCTTAAAGAAACAGGAAAGTAAATACAATATTTGAAAATGGAACTCTCTAGGAATTCGTATTATTTTTTTTATACCTAAGATTGTCATGCGTGTTGTAATAAAGATGGCGTGATGAAATAAGTAGATATACATGCATTATGAAACGTAATAAATTCACTAAAAGCATGGCATATTACGTGTTTTTATTAATTTCAGCTTATTTATTATTTAACAGTTTAAAAATGTCTAAAATAATAATAAATTGAAGTTTGTATAGTCCTAAATTTATTATAGAAACTGGGACTTTTTGCTTTTTGAAAAATAAAAAAAACCTTAGTTATTGAGAAAAATCAGCTGAGAATTTGTAATTTTCTCAATTCAGAACCGACGGATAGTCTTCTAAGTACTTTCATAACTGCATTAAAACAAAGAAACATTATTAAAATCTCAACTCTCAAGTTATTTAAATTAATTGACCTGTTTCTCTATTATAAACTAATCTATAGACCTTAATAGTTTACAATAACTGTCTTCATAACGATTGGTTCGTTTTATTAAGGTAGCTATTGGATTCGTCGAGCCTTACATATGGAGTGCCTTCGTTTAAATACAATAATGATCAAACGGGAGGGTCTCACATTATAAAGGAATTAACGTGAAATGACACGGATCGCTCGGAATGTTTGACTTTTAACCCATATCAAAAGGGTGTTTTTGTGAACTTCCGAGAGCTAATGTAAATAGAGCTTTTGGAAAATGGAATGTTATGTGCAATAATGTAATATAAGCTTGTGTTACTATTTTTTTATGTGAAAACCCTTTAGATATCTTCATTCGTGTCTGCCTGTCAGTTTATCAGTTGATGATGTATAATTTTTATTATTTATTCTTAAGTTTGTTCTGTAACTACAGACCCGATTGATTTTGTTGGTACCGAATAAGTACCTTTTCTAGTTTCTGACACACGACTGTATTTAGAACAATCTTATTTCTAAATAACATATAATTCGATATAATTTTGAGTAGCTCGATGGCGTAGCGATCCGCGATTGTTGTTGTTAAACAATTTTCGGAAGCTTGAAGTTTAAAATGTTTTTTACCGTTTTAAAATACGGCATGGGTCTATCTTTCATTTTCATTGTTAAGTAAAGAAAAAAATAATTGCATTATTTGTTACATATACCGTTAATGTAGCAAATAATGAAATTGGGACTAAATTATCGTACTGACGTAGATATATGATAGCGAAAGTTAGGTTGAAAAACAGTCATTAAAACGCGGATTGATATAGCAAAGCTGTAAATTTTTCTACTGCTATAAGCCATAAATTAATATACTTTTACTGTGTTCGTCAAATCTTCCAAAATTTAGTTTAGAACCAGTTATCCTCAATCTATTTAGCGGAAATTATGAATATAGGTTTCGCTTGTAGGGTAGGCTGGGTACGGTTGTAAAAATTTTTCTTTCATTGTCCACAGCACAGCTATTACAACTGGAAACAACCATCAAAGTTTTTGAAATGAAAGTATATTTATTTGTCTTTAAATTAATATCAAAACCAATAGCTTAGGTAAGACAGTTCAGCAGGAATAAGCTGTTTCAAAGAATGTGTGCGATTGTTGCAATCGACCCCATACCAGGGGCGGTTGTAACACTTATGTGGGGCAGTTGTAACGCTAAAAAATAATATATAAATCCCACGTAATCAATCAGTTTTATTCATAAAAAATAACTAAATGCACTAAATACAAAATAACAACATTGAAGGCACATTTAAATAGTCTTTTTAAATAATAATAATTAATCGAAGTTAGTCAAGAATACCTGAAGTTATACAATAGTTTTTTTCTATATTAAATCAAACTCATCGCAATTATGGCATATATAATTTATACTCTCATCAGTACAAGCTACGTGAGACCATTATTTGCAGCCTCCTTGACACTGAATCCAACTCTCTCCAGACCGAGTGCCAAAATACGTCTCTAGGCAAAGAAGTCTGATCTTGGTATTCGCTAAAAACTCTATTATGAGCTACATATCCCATGCTATGATGGCTACATTTAAAAGAAATCATAAATTTTCCAAACTTCATAGAATGCATTAATTTTTTAAAATAAGGAATAGGAGATGAGTATACTGTTCATTGTTTCTGTGGCAATCACGTATGTAGATTTTCTATATACACTTTTAGCTTTTACCAAATGGGTCAAACTATTTTTGGGCCACTTTTCAGTTCTTTAAAGTCGTGACTATGATAAATTGATGATGCTATGCTTTTTCAAAAACGGCATCCATTTTTTTTTTAACCGTCATATTTTTAAAGAATACAAAAAGAAAATGAATTTTCAAATAGATGTGAATCAAAGACCTAAATGAAACAATCTATAAATGTTCAATCTGAAAAATTATCAACGACCGAATTATTATGACGGAAGCTCTTATAATGTCTCATAATTATAACGAACATTACAGTGAAGTGTAGCTACCTACCGCTTCCCGCAACACTGTTCTAATTAAATACGAGAAATTACACTTTGTCACCAATTTTGTGAAGCATTTGCACTGAGTGTATAATTAATGGTTAGATCAAAGACGTCCAATTTGCCTTTCTGTCGTTTAAAAGCTACATCGTGAAGGTTTGTTTGCGGTGGACAGTTCCAAACAGGCAAAATGTTAAATACATAGATGTGCCTACGTTCGGACGAACCAAACTTGACTTGCGCATAAATTGTAATTAAATCTGCAGTTGAGCAACATTTGTAGAGTGATTTTACTGTAGTTTAATATGGTATAAAAATGCATTATATACATTAATTTGAAAAGATAAAATTATTGGAAAGATGTCAACTACACGTATAAAGCTCCTATGACATACTTCTAACGAAGTTTGTAGAACGACACCAAATACATTTGTATTAGTATATAGCATTTGTTGTGAAAATATGAGAAATATACAGTTATACAAACTATTAGCTTTACTCAGGACTCCAATTATCATTTGTTTAATATTGAAAGGTAATCAGAGACAACGAATATAAATTGATGTTTAAACGAACTTACCAAATAAAGTTCGAACTAAACTACATAAGCAGTATACATACGAAGCGAGTTAGATACACGGTGTTATCAATAAATCATACGTAGTTTTAAAAATATATATAAATCACATATGATTTTTTGCCGCATTGATATATGGAGCCAACAAACATAAATGTAGGTACGCAAAAACTCTGAGAGCCGTATCCGTTGAAGTATTCACGGGGTCTGTGTAATTAATGACAGAATCAAATCTGTTTAATTTCCCTCGTAAGCCGCAAAGGTTTTGCGGATGACTGACACAAACAAACGTGAGTTCAACCCAGTTCTATATATACTGGTACGTATTCACTTAGCATCATTGTTGCTTTCCAGTCAATAGGAATGGACCACACTGCGTGTAATGGATTGTATTGTTGCGTTAAATCAATAAGTGTCGGACTGAGAGTCTATCCTATTTAAGTGACAAATTTAAGAGCATTTAAGAACTTAAGAATGAAGCACGATTTATTTCCTTTAAGAATCTCATCTATATATACAAAAGCAAAAGGCCGCTCGCTCACTCATTACGAAATCTCAGAAACTAAGTGATAAAGTCTCAAATTATACATAGGAGTTCTTTTATTACGTAGTTGCTAACTAAGAAGGGATTTATGCAAAATCCTACCCCATAAAGGTGCTTTTTACTGTATATATTTAATGGTTTGAGTAATGAAATCCCGCGCTTGAAGCCGCTGGCTGAAAACTAATTACACATATTGATAAAGTGAACTATGAAAGGACTCGTCATGAAAGTTTGGGGCATTGGCATTTACAGTTTTATGTTCTTATGATTTATGTTCTTGTATTTCATGAAGGAACTTGAGTGTTTGGTGACTCTGTAAAGAAGAGATGCGCATACAAATGAACTTAAATGAAGCCTTTTCGTATCCATTCACGCAATTCAAATGAAATACTAGAATACTTTAATCTGATTTCCTTTTATTTTAGTAACAGTAATCCATTAACTAAGCACATTTACTGGACAATTATTAAATCAGTTTCTAGTAAGCTGTTTAATATATTTTAAACGATTTCTTTACAAGCAGTAACCTATCCTCATGGAATGTATCAAACGTGAAATAGAGAGAGAAGCATGGTACATAGAAATTAATCATAGACAAGAGATATGGGTACATTTAGGTCAATCTTATCTGAATCATTGTCTGATGTGGCAAAATCACTAATTATGCAACGTAACTCTTAAACGTGGCTCTAAGATCAAAAGTAATGTTTAATAAATAGTAATAGGCTAATATAGGTAACTGCGAGACTTGCGAGAATCTTGCTGCAATACCATGATTGGCCAAGTGTCGTCTTGTTAGATTGGGTTGCTATCTCTATTAAAGATAAAAGTCATTATGTAAATTAAGAATACACACCGGCAATTATTTCTAGTATCAGTATCATATTTTTAAAAGATTGATTCCTTTCAGCCATAAATGAAAAATGACATATTCTTTTTTTCCATAGAATTTCGTGACGACAGTCACATCTCAGTAGATAAATAATTGTTTCAAATCACGGACAGATATCATGAATAAATTATTTGATATAAGGTTTAAAACTTTGCATTGATTGGCATCTCAAGTCACTCTGTTAATTAGTTAGAAAGTCGGTGCCATGATTGAATTCGAGATCGTGCTGCCTTTCGTAATTATTAAGAAACTAAATATAAACAAAAATTTGTCCTCGAGACAATAAATTTATTTATTTATCAAACTTTGATGTCCAGCGAATAAATGATGCGATATTTTACATCCGGATTTGAATTTATAAATTTAAAGTGAAGGATGTTTCAAACTGTACTCTGTTTCTTATTTTAGTTTTTTTAAAGATCTATTTATCAAGATTGATAAAACTAGGACTTTTTGCCTTGTGAAATGCAAATGAGTTTTGTACCCTTGTCAGTTCAGAAGTCGTTCGTAAGTATATCTTGAAAATAACAGTTCTCGAAGTTTTTAATTAGTAATTCCGTTTATCCGCCATGGATATAATTAAAATAAAAATCCCGAATACCGGGTCGTTTCGGAGAAAAATCCTTAAAGATTAATTGAAAAAAAAAGTCAACCTCCATTG